AGATTGTTCATTGCTTTTTAGCAAAAAGAAAACAATGTGAAAATCACTTCAAGATTAAGGGCCGGGGGTTTAGCTCAGTGGTTCTGCTACTTGCCTTGCAAGAGCAAGGACCCAAGTTCGATCCCCGGTACCAAAAAAAAAAGATTAACTATACAGGATGACAATATAATAGTTTGGGGGGCTGAAAGTACAATAGTGATTTCTAGAATTGAAAGAGAGGTGGGGTGAAAGAAATGTTTTGGTATGCTCAATGCATGCCATATGTGTGGTAATATCACCTAAATCCATTAATATGTACAATTAATGTCAGTTTTAAAAAATTAAAAACAAAATTAATTATAGCAATTCCACTTGAGGGTTTTTTATCCAAAAGAATATAAATCAGGGGCCTGGGATGTAGCTCAGTGGCACCGTGGTTGCCTGGCAAGCACAAGGTCCTGAGTTCAATTACTGGTACAAAAAAAAGAAAACAATAGAAATCACAAGAAAAAAATTGAACTCTTCAAATACTAGAGAGATGATATTAGCATGCCAACATTCACTATAACACTGTTCACCATAGCTAAGGTGTAGAAAGAACCTAATATCCATTGACAGATGAACAAAAGAGGATAACCTTAATGACATGTTAAATGAAATAAGATAATCACAAAAACACAAACACTGCACAATACCACTAATATCCTGTATCTAATATAGTTCAAATGCACAGAATCAGGAATAGAATGGTAGTTGGTAAGAACTGAGGAGAGGTTAGAAATGAGGAGTTGCTAGCTAATGGGTATAAAGTTTCAATATGCAAGATGAATAAGTCACAGAGATCTACTATACAACACTGTGCCTACACCAATACTGTATTGTAAACTTAAAAATTACAAGGATAGATCTTACATTGTGTTTGTAGTAAAAGAAAATTTAAAAAGAGATTATTAGTGTACAATGTAACATACATTCTCCATGTGAATAAAATTTTGTTTACAGAATAGGGATAAAACATACACATGCATGATTTTAACATCAGGCAGAAAAGAACACTTGAAATTTTCATAAAATAAATTGTTTCATGGGAAATTAAAGAAATAAAAACTTATTAAAAGTGATCAAAAACTACATACAGGTGTGTATTCAGTTAACTAATTTAAGTCAAGCCTTCAGCCTTCCATGTTTAACCACACACAATGCCTTCCTATATCCAATTATATGGATACTAAGAGCAATTGTGCATTATCTTTTTTAAAAGAAAATATACAGTGGGGCACAAAAGTGTTTACATAGTAAGTATAGTGCTTGACCTCAAAGAGATTCTAATGCATTGAAAGTTAAGTGTTTCATAACCAACTAATGCATAGATTTTAGCATAAACTATTTATCAAGGCCAATAAAACTAACAGAAAAATTAAGAAAGTTATTTACATAGTAATTCAAGACAAAATGTATAAAAGATGCAAAAACTAAAGAAAAAATATTGGATCAATGCCAAATAACTGTAACATTTAAGAAAAATACTTGAAACAAAGAATTTGCATATGAAAGTGGTCATTTTGGGGCATAGATTCTGAGGACTATAACAATAAAAATTACTAATCAATAAACGATATGACAGTATATACTAAAATTTCAATATTCATGATTACCACAATTGGGGAAAACACAATTATATTTTCTGAAAATTTTTTGAGGCTTTTCTAGTTGCTTTTTGTTTTTTAATTGAAGTGAAGGTACAAAGTTGGTTCAGAAGGTAAAGGACGATACAGAGAAAAACAAATACAACACGTTGCCACACTTAAAACCCACAATGGCAAATGTGTTTTTTTTTTTAAAGGAAATTAGTTTTTCAAAATGTAGAATGTGATATATTTTCTTCAAAAAAAGTATATTAACAGCCTTACTGAAAATAAAAATTCTGCATTTTCTGATTTATATTTTCATTCAAGAGATGAAATAGATTCTCAAAAGACCAAACTGCTATTAACTGTTCACTTCCATGCAATTACTGTATTCAAATGACAGGAAACAATCTTTTTTTTTAAATGAAGATTTTAAAACATTTAGCTAGTAGTCTTTTATGCAATCAAATACACCACCCTTGAGTATAAGGCTTTTATGACTTTTTAAATAAGCATAGGAAATTTCAAAATCAAATTGGCAAACACATTACTCAAGGGAAAATCTGCTCAATTTTGCAATACTACCCCCCAGTGGAAATTTCATAACGTACAACCAAATAGGTAGACACTGCAGCCTGGATAAATAATCTGTTGGGAACAATAAAGTGTAAATAGTATCAAAATGGAGTTATTCAAAACAAGTTTCTATTTTAGACAGTACTAAATTTACCCCTGACTCATTCATTCATCCCACTATCACCACACCTTTAAATCATGGAGATTAATACTAGTAAAGCACTGGTTTCCAGCTGAAGGGCTTGGATAGCAACAATGTTAGAACTCTTGCAGTTATGGAAAATACATCCACACTATATGACACTGTTAGCACTTCAATGTATGACTAAAACTATAGTAATAATAACAGTACCACCAACTCACACTAATAGGTGTTTATTTCACATTTTCAATGAGCCATTAGGTACATTGATGCATTTAGTCTCTATACAGCTTTTTAAGAGATTGGCAGTAACTGTTCTTACCTGCATAGGTGAAAAAACTTTAGAAAAAGACTGGGCCCTACCCCACGCCCCTAGACTATATGAAATGGCAAAATTGAGTCTACAACCTGGACCTACTAGAGTATCATTCTGCTCCTCTAATATCTATAGGCAACTTTTTTTTAATCAAAAAAAAAAAGTCATTTCTACTCAAGAAAACTAAAATCACATCAGAAGGTATAGAGAAAATTATAAGCCAGATATTATAGCTAAGGAAAAAATATTTTCAACTGAAACCATCAAAGTATTCCAAAGTGTGATGTATTTGTAAATTCTCCATACAAAACTTCAACTCATAGCCAAGAAAGTAGTTCTTCTGTTATTTTTTTAAATCTTTCCCTTTTTCTGCCATTTTAAACAAAGTAGTGGCTTGAATAGTCAATTAGATACTATAGAAACTTTTTCCTATAAATCAATCCTAAAGTTTGACTAAATAAAACTATATCGGAAATGTAGTAATCCAGGAAATCCAAAAATACACTTGGATCCTAGCAGCTCTTTTTGTCCTAGTATACACAGCAATTTTTTTTTCCAGTTTGGTTTTTTGAGACAGAGTCTTGCTAAATATCCCAGGCTGGCTTTGAATCCTCATCCTCCTGCCTCAGACTCTAGAGTGCTGGGATTCTACACATGCAACACCAAAACCAACTATATACCAACTTTTAACTTCTCACTTACCTACAAAGAGTAAATAATGTTATAATACTTTGCATTTGAAAAGTGCTTTATAATTACCTATACTGATTTTCATATACATCGATTCAAGGATTTGTCACCAACTAAATATCTACTACCAATGACATATCAGAACCGCTTATTTCCAAAGTAAAATGGTGCTTCCACTCCTACAAAATCAGGAAAACTTTCATATGTAGTAATTATGTGATATCTTTATACAGAGTAACCCAAGCAATATATATAAGGGTGAAAGAAGCAATATTACATCATGAATACATTTATGTTTTTTAATAATGCTTTTAAGGAAATTAACTACAGAAATGCAAAAAGAACTTTATTACCCTTGCTCCTACCTAAATCTCTCCCAGAGGTACCTGCCATTTCTTGTACTGTAACCATGCATTCCTATTTTTTATCCTTGATGCATTTTCTCCCATTTTGATAGTTTCCTGTAGCAAAAAAATATTACAATTCATTTTAAGGGTGGGAATGTAGCTCAGTGGTACAACATTTCCTTAGCAGGTGTGAGGTCCTGGATTCAATGTTCAATACTGCCCATCCCTCAAAAATGATAGAAAGGGAGATAAATGAGGATAGAAAATTCTTTAAAAGATGTGGCAGCTCCTCACTAAATAAACCTATTTTTTTCACTAAGTTTACTGGTATATTTTAGTTATGCAATACAGCTACATTCATCATTGAGATTTTTACATGATGTATCTTGGTTCTTATTTTTTCACTATTCCCCTACCCTTCGTTCACCTGTTCCACCCTACCCTATTTACAAAGACTTTGTTTCCACTTTCTTTTTCTCATATTTTTCCCTCTTTCCTTTCCCCAACCCTTCCCACTTCCCCTACTCCTTTATAACTTTGCTTCCTATTTCTCATTACCAATTATACAATTTAAACCTTATTTACACTTTTAGATTTTCACACCAGAGAAACTATTTGGTATTTACACACGTGTGTCCTATTTATTTCACTTAAGAGGAAGGCCTCCATATGCATGCATTTAGGTATAAATGTCTCTAGTTTCTCATTGTTTATGATTGAGTAGTACTCCATTTTATAGAAAAACCACATTTTTCTTTTTTCTTTTCTTTTTTTTTCTTTTTTTGGTACTGGGGATTAAACTTGGGTTCCTGTGTTTGCAAGGCAGGCCACCGAACCACTGAGCTAAATCCCCAGCCCTAAAAAAACCACATTTTTGTCCAGTCTCCAGTTGATGGGTAGTTGGGCTGTTTCTAAGTTTTAGCTATTACAAACTGTGCTGTTATA